AAGCCTATCGCCTCCGCTTCTTTGTTCTACGTAGAAGTACGTATGACTTTCGAGACATTGCGTGAACCGTTCGAATAAAAAGAGCAATGGTGCACAAGAGGGTGAACGCGGCGTCATTGCTGCGAAGCAAGACGGTGTACCCCAGCAGTGGTCGGGTACTAAATTATACTTCTACAATGCAACGAACCGAGAGGGACGTGTGCGTGTGTTCGTCACATCGCCAGACCTATCCCAGCGCCAGTGATCAAGCCTTGTCGTGTTCGTATGCATACGTGAGGGAGGATAGTGCCGACTCCTGCTCTACCTGCCCCTCTCGACGGGTGTTTGTTGCCCACAATAGATTGCAGCCCACAGAGATATTCGAACAACCTGTTGCCAGAGATTTGAGAGGTTCACCACCACACCACCGAAGGACGACCGAGTGCGCACGCGAGGCAATACATAAGCCCGCAACTGCATCTGATTGTAGAGTGCTCACCATGAGTGCTGTCGCTCCTAACCCTGTCCTCTCCACCACCGCCGTCGCTGACGTGCGATGCGGCGGAACTAGTTGTAGTGGCGCCTGACGGCGCTGGGGGCGCTCCACATCTCCACATATCGCGACGTGCGCCCCACCGTTCTTCAACGAGCTGAACGACGCGCCACAGGCACTACACTCATAACCGCGGCCAGGAAATTTCTTGAGGCTCACCCTCCGCGGCCTCGTTTGTGCCATGGGCTGCTGTGGTTCAATGAGAGCCGGCGGAGGGTGGGGCGTCGTCGTCGTCGTGTGTGGGGGGCGCATAGCTTGGTATTGAAGTACTGCTGACATAATGGGGTAATCTGTTGATCCTAACAGCGTGTCCCCCTAAACGGCACCACACTCTGCCACAAAGACTATGACTATAATAAGGTTATTATAGTTATTATAGTCATAGTCTTTGCTCTGCCAGCCTGTTCACCACGCATGGACGTGTGCGCACATGGACAGGAGGGGGCGCATGGATACAAAGGATAACGCATGGTGCTGAGCATGCGTCAGCTGATGGCGAATGGTTATGAGGACCGAGGCCGGTTCTTCAGCAGCCGCATAGCCGAGAACCGAGACAACCATGTGAGCGAATCACGATTTTTTGTTCCCCAAACGCTTGTACATGTAAGGGTCCCGAGTCCCGAATGATCCAAACACCCACTGCATGATACAAGAACGACAGCAGGCCTGGACAATGCAACCTCCCAATGGGTTGCGATTCGAAAAGATACAAGTAAAATTTGTAGCGGGTTGTGGGGTCCAAAACATGAATCGCTTTCTCTGACGCTCTGAATTCACTGCTAGTCTATCTTAGACTCTTTTCTTAAAGATGGATTCGTTGGGTCATATTATACTTTATACTAATGTTAAGAAAATTATATTAATAAAATTATGTCAATAAAACATGTGCATTATTGTGTCTTGCCGAGACCGTGAATGATGTGTGTGTGTCTGCGGTGCCCCTTTTCAAATGCGTCCGCCAAACTCCGTCCAGAAAATAAACGCTTTGCTCTTTATTTGCCATGAAACAAAAGTGACGCCAAATACCAACGGCGGAGACCTGCCAGAAAAACACCGCTGGCAAACACTATCGGTAATTTCTGTCCCAAAGGTCGCCTCGGACGAACAGACACCTACCACAAATGTTGCGCAGATGGCCTTAGACAGAAAGATCCCCGATTATCAACGTTCCACAGAACACCTCGGGCAATCCATAGCCATTCGTATGGCATTCAGATGGCCTCAGACAGAAAGATCCCCGATTATCAACGTTCCACAGACCACCTCGGGCAATCCATAGCCATTCGTATGGCATTCAGATTACACGATGGATCTTGAGCGTGCGGACCCTCACCTGCAGTTTCCCATGCTTTCGGAACAGACGGGCATCGTTCTGGCGTCTCAATGCCATGTACAGCAGTAGTCCCTAACACGAACTTCAACTTTGCAATGGGCATTGGTAAAGTGCACCCAAGCGATAGATGCATTGGTACATTTTCTTCTTTTCTTGTAAGGCTAAGTCTTACGGTGTAATTATTTCCGGATTGGATTTGGGGGGGGGGTCCTTTTCTGAGCCAAAAAAATAATTTGGGCGTCTTAGACCCATGTTTATGGTCGCCAAATCTTTGAAAAAAATCTTCAAATGTTATCAAACATTTG